TTTTTTTAAGACAGGGTTGTTTTTTTTTTTATTTTTTTTTAACGTTTTATTTATTTTTGAGACAGAGAGAGACAGAGAGTGAACAGGGAAGGGTCAGAGAGAGAGGGAGACAGAATCTGAAACAGGCTCCAGGCTCTGAGCTGTCAGCACAGAACCCGATGCGGGGCTTGAACCCATGAACTGCGAGATCATGACCTGAGCCGAAGTCAGACACTTAACCGACTGAGCCACCCAGGCGCCCCTGGCCCACTCTTTCTATGAAGTGATGGTCATCTCTGGACTTTACATTTGGCTCAGGACCACATGGTTGCTGTGGCCCATTTGCAAATGATACTTCACCGTGGAAAAGGCGATTCAAACTCACCGATATCGTTGCAATGGTGCGTGTCCAGCCTCCCGACCCCCTCCGACCAGGTGTCCTCACTTTGGGAAGAGTCAACATCACCAAAGATATTTCCATGCTGCCAGGATTTAGAGGCACCAAGGCTGAAGAGATTAGAAAAGGAAGGGCGGATTCTCTTTTTCTTTCTAAATATCCTGGAAAGAAATGAAAGCATGATACATAATGAAAAGCAGCCCCCTCTGGTTCAACACCGAGAATTTAGTGAGAATGATTTGATCCATAGAACACATCTGCAAAGCTCATTTCATTTGTTCCCTCTGTTAACCCCACAGAAGTTTCTTAAACTTCTGTGCGCTCCAGGTGCCTGGATCAATATCTAAGATACTGAGATACAAGATCCAACCTTGGGCACAGAAAGTTCACAACCCATTATAGGAGAAAGACAAGGATAAGGCAGACGAAGCTAATGCCTTCATAGAGCTTTTTCTGCACCAGGGGTCTTTCTCAGTGGTTTACATATGATAACTCACATTATCCTTGGAACAGCTTTGGGAGGTAGGTACTGCTGTGACCCCATTTTTTCAGATCAGGAAACTGAGGCACAAAAGGCTAAGCAACTTGGCTGAGATCATCCAGGAAGTGTCACAACTGGGCTGCAAACTGAGGCAGGCTGGCTCTATGGTCTCTTCTCTGCATTACCAGTGCTATGTAGGGGGCTTGTGCTCTGATGGAACTAACTAGAAGCTGCACTGAGAGCACCAGGGGAGGCATTGCTGATCGGGAGTCAAGGGAGGCTTCCCGGGGGAGGAGACCACTGAACTGCATAGGACTATCTGGTCTATTCATTGAGGAACAGGTAGGTCTTATATTAAGTCATGCTAGGAAATAAGGCTGGGGAGGTAAAAATAAGGAGGGAATGAATGAAGAACCTTGAAAGTGACAATAGTGGAGAAACTTGAATGTTGTGTGAAGGAGTTGGGTTTTGACATCGGAGCGGAGGGAAACCACTGGGCACGATGGTGATGTAATTTGTTTCACATTTCTGAAGGATTTTGACAACTCACACATCCACACTGCCAGCAACGTGTCCTCTACATTGTAACCAGTGTCACCGTGCTAAGGATAATCCGGTCATTTGTCAATGGTTCCTCTTTGCCTACAGAACAAAGCCCAACCCCCTTAGCTGGACTTGAAAGTTCTCTGCTCAGCCCCCGTGTCTGCTCAGTGTTCTCTCGTGTTCCTTCCACCCTGAGGTATATCTCTGCCCAACCACCCGCCATTTCCCAAATTGTACAGGGTCTCCTGGAAGTCTCCTTTGCTACTTTCATTTTAACTGAGATCCTCCTTCTCTCCAGACTCAAATCCATCTTCATTATCTCTAGGAATCTTGTTTTAACCGGTTTCCCCGCGTGAAATAGCCTTCCTTTCCTTTTCTCCTGCCCTGCAGTCTATTCAGACCTCCGCCCCGGCACCCGTATCACTTGATCACCTTGGTTTATTTTCACGTCAGCTATCCCTGCCCCTTGTCGGTCTTTACGCTTCCATGGTCTGGAGCAGGAATGAGCTCTCGTAAATCATTGCTGAATGAACAAATGAATGAATGCATAATTAATGGATGGATTGGATTTTGGATTCTTTGACGTATTATCCACTACTTACCTAACTAAATTCTCCTTGTAAAGAACACTGGCCTGGGGTGGGCTCAGAGTTATGTTGCCATCTTTGTCACAGAGGAAAGGGTCCTCTGTCCAAACATAGTAGCCATTGGAGAGGAGTCTGGGACTTCGGCGACAGGTCACATGGGAGCCCGTCAAGAGAGCTGCAGAGCAGCCCTCAAAGGAACTGTCACCATCCAGGAAATCACAGGCAAAACTAAAGAGGGAAGAAAGAAAGTAGTTTACACCTCCACCCACCATGTCCAGGCCCATAGGAACCACATTTCTAACCACCATGAAGGAAAACAGCTCTTTGCGTTCACGGCTACCTCTGTGCATGCATGCATTCAGCCACCCTGAGAATGTCACTCTTAATCTGGGCTTCATCTCCTCGCTAGTGACAGCATTGGACAACAGGGCATTTAGCGCTTCGTTCTGTTTGAAACATTTTGATGAAAACATTATAGGCTCATCAGTCTCCTCGCCATGGGATGCAACTACACCCTTGACAGTAATCCATTTTCTTGGATGGAGAAATTGCAGACTGGCCTATTTGGGGTGCTTATTATATGAGCTTATTTATTTGGGGTGCTTATTATATAAGTTTATTATTACAAGCTATTTGGAAGCTTACAGTCTCCACCCCCTTCCTTTGAATAGTCCTCCAATTGCCATATCCTTACTCTTTCCCTGCAATAGATAAATTACAACTGTGCAGCCATCAGATATATATGAGTTACAAGGTGAACACGCAGTCAGAGAGATCTTTTTGACTTTGGCCAATTTCCCGCCTGGTCAGCTACCCAAACGACCATACAGTCTGTGATTTGGTATCCAGGGAAATCTCTTAATATTCAGCTGGGCAAATATCCATGTGTCTTAGGTTTGAAAAACAATCACATGCCTGTGTGATTGAAAGGCAACATCATGCCGCATGCTCTACTGAATTTCTGGTAAAGTGTTAAATGTAGAAGCCTGTCCGCAATTAATACATGCACTAAAGTTAGTAAAATACTATTTTAAATGGATATTACTTATTGAAAATGTACTGTGGACCTGGCTCATAGTTAATGCTTTATCTACTTTTCACTAACCTCCCCAAAAGCTAAGTATTGTACGTAATCATCATTGTACTGTAGGAAAAAAAATGTATATGTATATGTATATATATATATACATATATACACACACATACATATATATATACACATATATACACGTATATATATAATGTATATATACATATATACATATATAATATATGTATATAATATATATATAATGTATATATATACATGTATATATATGACATATATACACGTATATATATATAATGTATATATATGTATATATATATAACGTATATATATATATACGTGTATATATATACATGATGCAGAAGGACAAATAACTTGGATATTTTATAATAGCCAGTAGGTGATAAAACTAGGATTCGAACCCCTATCTCGAGTGCTCATTCCACATGGCTGTTAGTTCGTGCTTCGCTGACTCATTTGACGGTAGCGAGAGGCCTGGCATTTACAAACAAGGGCAGGCTCTAACTCCAATGCATGATTCCTTTATACTATTGGCACATTTTACAAAATGCTAGAGAAAACATCAACTGAGGCCTGCGTAAGGAATAAAAGACAGAGAGAAGAGACAGGGGAGGAAAAAGGAAGGAAAAGGAGACTTCTTGGAAGAACTTGAACAAAACGGTCGACTCGACATGTTTTTTTTTGTAGAACATGGCATTCGGCCAGCTGGTGCATTGGTGTGGGATTTTGTTGCTCTTATAAATTGAGATAGCAAAGCATATTTAGGAGAACCTTAGTTCGGGAAAAAGTAATCAGTATTCGGTAGTTTCTTCACTCCCCAAACAATTCACTTTGGCTTACACACTCACGGCCATGCCCCACCCCCCACCATTCCGTTATTAGGTTATGCAAGTTTTCATTTTGTGTGTGCATGGGACTGAAGATTTATACCCACGCCAAAGCTGGATGGGAGCTAAAACTAACATTTTTAAACCAGGAATACAAGAAAATGAGACACACAGGGAGAGAACCGTGATTGATGTGGCTTGCGAAAAGTCCCATGGAATACCTTGGGAAAAGGCATCTGGGAGACGGCTCTCCGGTGTATCTTCTCTCAGAGCCTGAAGAACCTGCAGAAGCAAACGGGAGACAAGTGCAAATTTATCACACCTCCCCACCACGCATGACTGCAAATAATGGAAGCTTTAAAGAAGGTGTGAGTAGTTCCTGCCTCGGCAGGGAATCCAACTGGTGCGGCCATGCAGTGAAATCAGGACTAACCCAACTTGTCACCGGGGCCGAGCCAGAAATAACCCAGGGGCTTCTGTCATCTGTTTCTCCTCTCACTCCGTATTCCTCTAGAGGTTTCTTACCGGAGGATGAGGGCAATAATAAACCATTAACATCAAACTGACTCATCACGAAAAGGAGGAAGAAAGTACCTTGTGTGAAACTGTAGAAAACCAAAATCAATTACTCGGTGTGCTAGCTTTTTTTACCTTACTCAGTAATTTGAGGAATTCAATCATTTGCTTAGATTGTCTCTTATTAGCGCATTTTAAGGCACTCCCATTGTAAACTAATGAGGAGAAGACATTAGGGAAGGAAAAAAAATAAAGTTTTGTTTTGTTTTATATTAATAATTTTCCAACGTATGAGGCCTGTGAATATTCTTCATTAAAAATAAATCATCCTTCCATTCATTTAGCCATTCACTCCACTTTAACCAAAGGCATAGCACCTAATTTCAGCTGGGGAAAGTGCAGCTAATTAATATTCTACACTCTAAAGCACGATTTTATATAGTCATGTGTGAACACTTCTAATAGGCTCGGTGAAACTTGATTCCGTTGTGGACGGTTAGTATCTAAGACAAAGCAAGGAGCTTAGACTTTCAGATTGGGCTGGTTGGTTTGTAAGGAGTAAATTGTAGGTGTGTGAGGTGGGGTTAGAAGCAGGGTTTGGGGAGAAAATGACAAGAGGAAGGAAGAAGCTTGAAACCACTGCCGTTTGAACAACGCCCTTATTTTCTGCAAGTAGCTATCAAAATCATTCAGTATTTTTTATAGACAGTTTTGCATCTTAATAGTAGCTGATAAACAATCTCCTTTCACATTTATGCACAAGCATCTAGAAAACCAGTGATTTCTTTTTCCCCCACTAAAAAGACAAATACCACATTTCTCTCCAGGAAAGAAATGAAGTCAAAATCATTGCCAAAGTGAACACTGGCATTTAAGAAGCACAAGCTACTGACAGATGGTTAATGGTATGAGTATCAGCAAAATCAAAGCAAGGAAATTGCTAAAAGAAGTCTAATCGTTCGAAAGATAATTGCGCGTAGCAGTTCTCCTACATTTACTTGCCACTGGTGTTGACATCAGTTGAGATATTCGGTACATCTTGGGAAGGCTGCTTGTTCAAACTTCACAGATTTTCTGAAAGAGACATTAAAAAGGAGGTGGATTATATATTAAAAATAGAAAAATGATGCCAAAACAGATGGCATCTACTAATTGCACTAGTCAGGCTTGTTTACTGAATGGTACAGAGATTTAGGGCTGAAGGAGGAGACTGGGATGAATGACCACCAGGGTTGCACCTGCTACAATGTTATATTACATTTTCCATCGTCTGGCTTGGTGCATACAAATAACCTTTTTCTGTAAATAAGAACAACATCTTATTTGGGAAACCTAGATTGATGTGGTTGATTTGTAGTCAAAATAACTAATGAAAATGAATTATTTGATTAAGAAATCGGAAAAAAAAAAGATTGGTTTTAGAGCCCTCTAACTAAACGTTTTTGTATTTTCGTCATGCGACGCACATCACCCTCATTATCAAGTTTCAAGTGACGCTTGGGGATCGGTGTCCGTCTTTCGCACAACACCTCGAACCCTTGACAGGTGGTCATAGAGAGGGCTGGTGGTCTTTAAGAGGTGCTGTCAGCCTGGACATGCGCAACCAGTGCAGGCAGCATTGCCCTAAAAATTGTCTGCCACCAGGCAGATTTCAAAACTCAGTTTGCATGAGCATGTAATTTACTCTCTCAATTACAAATTAGGCATATATCCAAGTGTGTAAATTACGTCGACTTTGATCATATGCCATTCACCGCATAGGTCCACCTGCTGTGGACCATGACACTTTGTACACAGCGCTGGTCTCATAGCCTTGCAAGGTAGGACTGAATTCTTGTTCTGATTCACCACCTCTATCCACATTTTGAAAATGCGATGTCTAGTAATGGATTGTTTTTGTAGCTGTCACACATCAAGTCAAACCAGGATAATCCTAGAGCTCCAAATGGATTCTTTCAATAAATCATATGCCACAGCTTTTAGAAAATATAGATCCTAGCTTCTAGAGACCTTTAGGGGAGTCAAGAGAACTTTCTGGCATTCCTTGGAAGATCTCTAAATCAAAGCACACATTCGTAGATGTCGCTCATTTAGAATATAAACCAATATTGGGGCGCCTGGGTGGCGCAGTCGGTTAAGCGTCCGACTTCAGCCAGGTCATGATCTCGCGCTCCGTGAGTTTGGTAGCGTCGGGGCTCTGGGCTGATGGCTCCAGAGCCTGGAACCTGTTTCAATGATTCCCTACTCTCTCTGCCCCTCCCCCGTTCATGCTCTGTCTCTCTCTGTCCCAAAAAAAAAAAAAAAAGAATATAAACCAATATTGTTTGCATCATAATATAAAATAGTTCGTCACTGTCCTTTTGACTTTTGATCAATATCATCTGAAGTGCGCAGCCCAAATTACACCGTGTTAGCTTTCCCCAAGCATTGAGTTTCACTTTCAACCAACAAGACCTGTGGCCGAAGGCAAGGTTTTCCTGCTATGTCTTACAATATTTGCGTCAGGCCACAGACAGTACAGTTGATTAAGGACTAGTCACACTGGAAAAGCCTTCAGTAACAGCTCTAAATCTTTTCAAGAAACAGCTTCTGTCTACCAGTCCCATCAGAGTCACACATCCGTTCTGAAAAATAATCTGTCCATACGTGTTCCTTCCAAAGGGAGTTCCCAGTTTCCTCTTCCCACTGATGAAGAGGAGAATTACTGAAGTATGAAGCTTCCTGTGGCTGACGGTGGAGAAATCCAGGATTCAGCAGGCTGTCGGCTGAAAATAAAGACAGAATGTCAACAGGTGCAGGGAAGTCTCATAATAAAGAGAAATCCCCTTCGCTCCTCCTAACAGATGCTTGCACGCATTACCGTGGGCAGGAGTGTGCAGAGAGGTTTTGTCTTCAGCGGCCTCTTGCTGTTTGGGTTGTTTCCTAGAATAAAAGGGCATGTCGTTCTTGAGAAAGTCAGCCTTATAACCGCTCTTGTTTTCTTTCAAAAACAGCCTGTGTCACCAGAGACTGAGAAGCAGAATGAGGTCACACTTCCTGTTGGGCTCACATCAGTGGCATTCACGCCCAGGAGGATGGTGAAACCTCCAGTCTTCTGGACCAGCGACAGGTGAGGTGCGGCCCACAGATCAGACCAGCTGGATACATCATGGTCGCTCGAGGGATGCTTTTCTGAGCTACCTCGTCACACCGAGCTGTAAGAATGTGAGAGAAACTTCCGGAGAACACTTCTCAAACACTTCTTGCTTGTCATCTTCTGGTCCTTTCCAACATGAGTACTGCATAGTTGTGCTCTGTCCAAATCGACTCAGTTTATTGGCGATAATGCACGGATGCTATTAGATTCAGAGTTTTATTCCATACCAAGAGCTGGATTTTATGAAAATGTCCGTCGTGGCAATATGTTGATTCACCAAAGGTTGAGCTTTCCAGGAAACTCCCTGGGTGGCATTTTACATCTTATATTTACATTTTAGTTGAGCTCAAAGAATTTCCTGCTGTCGGTGGGTCCCTACAAATCTCTGCTATTGTAAATGATAAAAAAAAAAAAATACGTTCCAACAATACTGAGGTGCATTGGGTAGTGGAAAGAGTGTGGGTGCAAAGCCCCAGGGGGTCAGCCCGGCAGAAGAGTTAATCTCATTCTTTCTTGGGGTTCTCCCAAGAAAGGGGTCCACCTTTCTCCCTGAGATGCTGCCAAAGGCAGGATCTTCTATAGAACATGCTCCTAGCAACAGAAGCTGTTGGCGGAGCAGTCACGTCGAGTCTTGGTAGAAAGTTTGCAAAGATGACCCTCAAAGATAGTTGTGTGATCTCTTTCCCTTCAGTGTGGGCTGAAGCGAATAACTTGCTTCTCCTGCATAGATGAGACACAACTGATGGGTTGGCACTCCCACGATTAGGTTACAAAAGACTACGGCTTCTGTCTTGTTGGCCTCTCCATTACCTTCTAGGCTTACACGCTTTGAAGAAACAAGCTGCCATGTTGGAAAAGCACACAAGACCAGAATCTGAGGGGTTATCTGAAATGCCAGTGAAGGACTGAAGCCCTCAGTCCGATGGCTGGGAATCCACTCAACCGCCACGTGAGTGCCTCAGAAGTAGATCTTTCTCCAGCTGAGCCTTGCCATGACTACGGCCCCAGTCAGCCCTTTGATTCCAGCCTTTGAACACCCACAAGCAGAGAAACCAGCTCAGCATTGTCCATATTTCTGACCTGTAGAAACTATGTGATAAAAAATCGTATTTGAAAGCACAAAGTTTGGGGTAACTTCTCACACAGCAATAGATAACTAATACATAGTCCCAACAAATGTGACTTCCCGGGCCATTCGTCGTTCCAGTCTATTTGGTCACGGTGCCAGCCTTAGAATACAGGCACGTTTATTCGAGGCTGGGGCTGGTCACATCTGCCTACATTTACCAGGTAGCCATTTTGCCCAATGGCAGTTCTGGGCGTCTGGTACCCTCTTTCTTGAAACCCATAGCTCTCCTCCTTCTTGTTCTCTCTCTGTGTCTCCTATTCTTTCTATTTTCATCCTCCTCCTTCCAACCCTGGCTAATGTTTTCTAGAGGAGGAAGGGGAAAAAAAAATCCTTCTGACTCCTCAAGACCCTGGGCTCTGCCCAAGTCCACAAGTCCCCTTTCCCAAAAGACTGACGTCAAAAAGACTTTAGTCTATTCCTTTACTGATCTGGAACATATCAGGACACCATTAATGATCACAATCATTGCTAACTTTATGGAGCCCTTACTAGTTCCCAGGCGTTGTTCTACTTCCTTCACAGATATTATTAGCACATTTAATCCTCATACCAACTCCACGAGGGAGGTTAATAACATTAACCTCATTTTACAGATGAGAAAACCGAGGCACAGAGAGTTTGATACTTCGCTCAAAGTCACGTGGCCGGTGAATGGTGAGCTGGTAGAACTGAGACTACGAGCCGGCCTTCTTAACCTGTGAGCAATAACGATCACATCAAACACGTCTGAGCATTTCCTATGAGGCAGGCACCGTATGAAACACTTCGTGTGTGTGATTAAACCTCACCCAGCCCTAGGAAATAAGTACGATTATTACACGCAGGCAAGATGGAAGTTTGGAGGGTTTACCTACACCATCAAGTGTCAGGGATGGAATTCTCCTTGCCGTTCCTTAAATGCCAGACTCGTGCCTGCTCCAGGATCTTGTGCTCATTCTTCTCTCTGCCCAAGATGTCCCCCTGATAGTCACAGGGCGTTCTCTCACCTCCCTTGGCTCTCAGCTCAAGTGTTTTCCGTCACTAACTAAACTGCCCTCCACACACTCTCCTCACTCGTTCCCTGCTTTATTCTTCTCCTTAGTACCTTTCACTCTGTCACATACCACAACTTTTATTTTTTGCAGTGATAAATTCATTCCTCAGCCAGACTGTAAGCTTTATGAAGGCAGAGAGTTTTGTCACTTTGCTTCATTCCTGGAGACCCAACATCAAGGATCCTGCCTGCCAAGAAACAGGTTATCCAGAAACATTTGGGGAATCAATAAATAACTGAAGTAAAAGCTAGGTAGAACTGAATTGAGCCCTCTATCCTGCATGCTAGAAAGCAGCACTTTTATTATTTTTTTAATCTATTTTTAGTTTTTTGTTTATTTTGAGAGGGAGAGAGAGAGGCAGAGAGAGGAGACCGAGAATCCCAAGCAGGCTCTGCACTGTTAGTGTGGAGCTGGATGCGGGGATCGAACCCATGAACCACGAGATTCTGGCCTGAGCCGATGTCAAGAGTCAGACGCTTAACCAGTGGAGCCACCCCCGTGTTTTCAAAAGTATGTTATGGGGCACCTGGGTGTCTCTGTCGGTTAAGCGTCTGACTCCTGATTTCTGTTCAGGTCAGGATCTCAGGATCTCACCTCTCCATCCCGACAGGTGCAGAGCCTACTTGGGATTCTCTCTCCCCTCTCTTTCTGCTACTCCCTCACTCTCCCTCTCTCAAAATAAAATAAACGTAAAAAAAAAATAAAGTATGTTCCCCAGAATGCTCAATCCTCCATTATCAGTGGAGGGTATGTGTGTGGAAGGGGAAAAGTGTAAGCAGTAAATATAAGCCTGCTCTCACCACTAGAAGTCCTACCCAGAGCAACGAGGCAAGAAAAATAAATAAAAGGTATTCAAATCAGAAAGGAAGAAGTAAAATTATCCATTTGCAGATGACGTGATCTTATATATAGAAAACCCTAAAGACTTAAAAAGAAACTGTTAGAACTCATAAATGAATTCAGTAATGTGGTTTTTTTCCTTTTTTTTTTTTTTTTTTTTTTTTTTAGCATTTATACAAGATTTCTTGCAGCTAGAATTCCTGTCTCAAAAATGCTCTAGATACGTCCTTACTGTTTGCTCAGCGTTCATATTTGCATTACGGTGGAAATTTATTATTTTTTTTAAGAGAGGACGAGAGAGAGAGAGGCTGAGAAATGGGGGGGTCGGGCAAAGGAGGAGGATGGAGACAGACTGATCAGCTCACAAAAACCCTAAATAAGAGCTTGCGTTCTTGGTGCAAGAACAGGGTTCTCTTCGTCTCTGTCATCCCCAGCGGCAAACACAAGGCGGATGCAAAGCAAGTCCTCAGAAGATGCGTGTGTTCATGGAGTCACAGAGCATGAACGACCACCCTCAGAGACGCCAGTGACTGGAAACACGTGTCCCTGTGACTGGTGGCAAAGAAACATCAAGAAATACCTGGCATTGGTCTATCGATTATAATTTGCAAAACGTGTAAGGTTTGTTCTATCGAATTCGATGTTCATCACAACCCTGTGAAGTAGATTTCCAACCCCCATTTCTATGTGAGGAAAGGAGCACCAGAGAAGGGTCTGGTTCCCAAACACTCTGGTAAAAGTGTCGGGTTTAACTGAACGACTCCTGGTTTTATTCCAAACCCCTTGGCTCTAGAATGCTTCATCATCTTAAACTGCTATAAAAAAGAAAAAAATAATAATGGGGCGCCTGGGTGGCGCAGTCGGTTAAGCCTCCGACTTCAGCCAGGTCACGATCTCGCGGTCTGTGAGTTCGAGCCCCGCATCAGGCTCTGGGCTGATGGCTCAGAGCCTGGAGCCTGTTTCCGATTCTGTGTCTCCCTCTCTCTCTGCCCCTCCCCCGTTCATGCTCTGTCTCTCTCTGTCGCAAAAATAAATAAACGTTGAAAAAAAAATTAAAAAAAAAATAATAATGGCAAGAAATGAGTTAACGCATGGATTTCCTTTAAACGTATATGGTCTCCTATGATCTTCCTGATACCCGTAGTTCTAAAAAAAGGAAAGAAAGAAAACCGAAGGGTGTTTACTCTGATCCTGAGGAAACGAACTCTGTTGAATGTTTTGCAAAAATACGAAAGAGGAAGTAATCCAATACCTGACCACAACGCGGTGTGGCTGCAATATTTTTTTAGCGCGGCAAGCCAGTCAACTGTGGCCATGCTTGTACAGGCAAGTTCTCTGCCCCTCCCCCAGAGGGGAACCTTTTCATCTGCGCGTCAGGCGTTTACTTTGGAGACGGCGGCATTGTGTTCGGGTCCCGACCAAGAGAGCGGACGCTTAGACCAATGGCCAAGGGACCAGCTAGAGCACATACTCTGACCCTGCATGTTCTTGCATGCTGACAGTCAACGTTGTAGCCAACCCACCTGTTTGTCTGTTTCACTGCCCAGTTCAGTGCCTCAGGATGGGGAATTAAGCCTATTTATCGTCAGCTCCTGGGGCCTAGCACTGACTTGGCCCATATTCCATAAATGCCTGTGGCAAGGAAATGGAAGCAGAATGATATTTTTTTACTTGCCAGAGCCTGAATCAAAGCTATAAAGAACTAGAAGGCAATAATAATTTTAGAATCTGCATGGGCCTCTTGTTTGAAGCTTACTCCTCCGCAAAGTGTTTTCCAAATGCCGCTTCCTCTCTGCGGTCTTCCTTGATTTGCGGAGTCAGCAG